TTACTTTTATCTATATTTAAGATGGGGAAACCCCGTGCATCAATTTAGAGTTCATATACAGATTCAGCCCCTCTGACCAGCAGTAAGGATGAGTGGGGATGCTCTCTTTTTTTTTTTTAAACTCAGATGTCAACCTTAGGCTGCCTTCTTTTGCTAGGGTCTGATGGAGAAGGGTACAGGTTTAAATCTTTCTGGGTTGGATTGCATCGTTAGGCACAGCTTGTAATAACTGACCATGTGGAGCTTTCCCAGGAGTGTACAGGCAGCACATCTATTACAACCCTTTGTGAAGTGCTGTATACTCCATCGCTTACCCCGATGCAAGGCTAGCCAGATCTGCTAAGTTCTAGTGCATAATGAGGCCATGCCCCCCTCACCCATGACCCCAAAAGGAATGTGCAGATTGAAACTGCAAGGAAGGAAAAATTCCTTATGCTGTCCCCACCACCACATAAACACAAACCCTTTCTCTCCGCACTAGAGTGGTGGAGTACTTATGCCATGAGAGAAAACAGAGTTAACATCAGTGAGAGATTTTCTTAATAAGTAGAACCTTGGCCTCTTGGGATCCCATTTCTCTATTTTTTGGGTGGCGATGACAATCTAACAGTCCTCTGAGATGCTTTTTTAAATCAAAACACATCCACTGAGGTTAGGCTCAAGACACCAGTCAAAGCTAGCTGTACGCATCACATCACTCAGTATTATGTGGCTGTTACTTACATAAACAATAGGCTGCAGCATCCTTAAGGTTTGTCTTGATCAAAATCTTTGTGCAAACTTTTGATCACAGATGGTAAACTTAAAGGAATAACTTCCTTTTTTCTGAACTACTGTTTGAGAGCTCTTCCCTCTGACCCTCGCTTTAAATCTGAGAGTCTTTTGTGACGAAAGAGGCTCTGCTACGATTTGAAGCCAAATAAAGTTTCCCAATAGGTATCACTCTAGTGCTATTTAATTATATAATACTATGTCTGTGAATAGTGTGATTAATAGGTATGCCAAGATATCTATTTCTTTGACTGGTATTTTTGTTTTGGGGCTGAACAGTTTATCTAAAGGTTGCCTGGCTAAACATGCTTTGATGTGTAAAGTCAAAGATGTATTGGGAGTTGTGAACTCAGGTCTGTCTCAGAAATGATTTATGGAGGATTATTAGGACAGATAGCTATGTATGTCAGATTACAAAGGGGAATTGAACAAGAATATTTCTTATTGTCCATAGCTGTTGAGAGGTATGAGACAGACACCAAACTGGGTTTGTACTATCTGTAATGTAATGTGTAAGCCAATAAAAGGGGTTAGGATAGGATGAAAAGCTAGGTTTTCCAATAAACCAAAATGACTGGAGAGAGGCATGCAGTAACTCCAACTGACAGCTTGTTTGGCTTGACAAAGAGACAGATTTTGGTATTATATGAAATCTTCAGTTAATTTAGGGAGATTTTGCAAAAGCTTCTAAGGGATTTGGAAGCAAAATCTCAGTGAAAGACTATCAATAGTTATTGTGTTTCTAAAATCTTAGGTATTTTTGAAAATCTCCCTTGCCCAATAGTTTCTGTATCTAAGCTCAGAGCCTAACTCACTTTGCTTTTCACATCTGTCTATGGTAATTTCTTTATAACTTGTGTTTGTTTCTGCCTCATGGCAAATATACTTTGCTTTTTTAAAGATAACTGAGGGCACTTGCAACCACTGCTCAAATAAAAGACATAGAGCTGGCCAGTGCGGCCTCCACCCCCACACCAAAATTGATAGCTTTGACCAGGAACTGGGTCAGAAGACCCAGGGAAAACAGTGATGCGCATTTCATTTGACCTTCTCTCCAGCGAATCCCCCTCTGGGGCACAGACTCTCTCCTGACAGAAGGGTGGTGCAGGTTGCATCTCAGTTTCATCTATGATGAAAATTCAGTTTTGGAGAAACAATTTGAAGCTTTAGAACTGATGCTATATCCCCATTTTCTATTCTGTAGAAGCACTAACATTCATCACTAGTATTATTAATAGTAATAACAATGTAATTAATTAATATCTTAAGCAGCAAGATGTTTTTTGTTTAGTTGTTTGTTTTGGGGTTTGTTGTTGTTGATTGGAGCAAGAAATTGAAAAAAACCTAAGTGAAGTATAGTCATCTAGCTCTAAAATAGGCTATATGAGTGAAGCTATTTGGTCATCAACCTGAATCCAGTGGAGCTGGTTATTAAGAGGCAGGAAGCTTATTTCTAGAGCACCAATAGAATGCATTCATCATACTTTATAAGTACATCAAAGTGTCCATTCAAGGGACTGATAAAAATCAGTAGCTTAACCTAAATAGGATTGTACTCAGAACTTTTGGAGCCCTTTGGATCTCCCACCTAATTGTGTTAGGTGAAAGATAACTTGGGGTTCTTTGCCCCTGTCTTTTATAGTCCAGTGAACTTTTGAAATGTATCCTTCTCAAAGTTCAGTGTCCCTGCTGTGAAGGAAAGGTGCCATGGTGTCTGATGGAGAAGGTTCCAGGCTGCTTTCTTCCTTGTTGGTTCTTTCTACAGTGCACATTGATCTGTCCCTGCTGCCTCTGATATGCCAATGAATGGCCACTTGACTGTGATTGCCAACTGTCTGTGATTACACCTGGAGAGAGGCATCGACCTTTTTCCTTTGTTTGGAAAAAAACATGTTTACCCATTCTCCAGACTTGTCTGGTTCAAACACATTTTAGTCCCATATTTCGTTCATGTTTGTTCAGTCCTTGGGGAATTTATTGTACATACACCATGCACAAATATTAATGATTATTGTGTTATTGGTTTTCTAATGATACCTTACGTAATACCTATTAGACAGATTATAACAGAAGTGAAGTGGGATACACTGAATTAGTCAGACTAGCTGAAACGCACTACCTGATACTGGCCCTCTGGAATTGGGATGCTCTTCAGGTCATACCTACAATGGTTTACCATACATAGGAGACAAGAGTCTTATAAAATACATGTGAAGAGTTTACCATCAAAAGATCTGATACAGCAAACAGTTAGTGCTGCATGCATCATTTCTTCCAGTTGAAATCAGGGGGACTCCATGCTACAGTAACTACTGGTAAGATGCTTCTAGATAGGATATACAAAAAACAATTGGAACACATGAAGGTTGGAAACCCCAATGAAAATATCAGTATTGGAAATCTTTATGCAAGAAGTGGGTTTTAAGGAGAACTCTAGACTCTTAGAAGACAGGGAAGCACTCTATCCGTATAAGATATAAGGCAAGATGAAAGAACAGTCCAGTATTCCATTTATTTAGGCCAAAGAAAATTTCTCTTACCTTTGCCATGAAAATATTTAGCCATCCAATAGATTTTTTCAGATACATCCCTATATGTATGTAAATAAAATTAGAGAAAAAGTAAACACAACCGTGGGTAGATTCAAAACTTTTTTTTCCCTCTAGTATCATAGTAAGTGAATTGAAACAGTGAGTGAAATAAATTGTTTTCATAAGTGACAAAAAGAAAAATGAAATTATTCATTCAACACAGTGCTTTAATCTCCCATTGAATATATGTATGCAATTGATGTGGACAGAGCTGTTCCTCTTTTAAAAACTAAAGCCACCATTTGTTATGCAGCTGTGAAAATCAAGTATAATATAGATATAGTTCACAAATGAATCAAAATTCAATCTATGTTATACTACAAAAGCTACAAATTTGGGGACAAATATTTGACTGTTTTATTAGCATGAAATTGCTTTCTTTGAGCTATGGTAATATTGGTTACCCTTATAAGTTTTTCTAGTGATTTGATATTAGTTGGACATAATATCCATAAGCATTCATGTGTTCCTATCATTGTAATCCTTGTTTCACTTACTCCCATCTCTAGCTGTACTCATTGTACTATATCTAATCCTAGGGTATAGTGCTCACATTCAAACAAAACTAAGTGTAGTACATACTACTGTGAATAGTCAATAATGGGTCTGCTCTCGGTCATAAGCACTGTGTCTAGTAGTCAGTGTCTGCAGGGGCTAGACTCTTAGATTAGAAACTCCTTGGAATAGGGACTATGTATTTTATTATCCTGCAATGTACAATACATGTTTGTAGTGATATATAAATCATAGTAATGAAAATATTTTTTTCATTTTCAATGTGGTATGTGACCTACATAAACTTCTGTCTATTAGAACTATCACAGAACAGCACAACTGTCAAACTATCTGAAGAATCACTTACAGTACATAAGAGATATTCAGTATCTTCTTCCTTTATTTTTCATCAGAGATTATGAACAAGCCTGGAGTTAGAAAGAAAGCTTGACTAAAGTCTGTAAATGACAAATTTATTAAAAATAATTGTGAATGAATTATACATTGACAAATATTGCTTGCCAATCTCTTTCTTTGTGTTCCCTCACTCTGTTTTTGTTGCTGTTGTTTTGCTTGCCCTACTTCAAGGCTCTCACTTTCACAGCTAGGCAACATGCCAACAAACCAAAGCAGTTAAGCTTGGTTAGTTCTGCTTCTAGTCCAGTGTCTCTTGCAGTTTCATGAATCAGCTATTTCTGATCCCCACAACCCTTAATGTTCTAAAATATCTTACGTCATCATGTTTCAAAATTCATAAAAAGTGAGACATGCTATACTATCAGTACAGGAAATAAGCAAGCAAGAGAGACTGCAGTCACAGCAAATAATTAATAATAGAATTATACCTTTTTTCCCCCTGCTATGTAAAAATCAACTCCTGGCAAAATGTGTCTTGTAAATTCCTATGGAAATTTTGTTTTGGAAAAAAAAATCAAGTTGCATGATGAAATAAGAAATAAATGTAATTTTATTTTGGATCCTTTGATAATATAGAACGTCTCCTTACCTTTTAAAAAATCTGTACCATTTTTAAAGACTTACAAATTAGCCCATATTCTGTTCCTTTGTAGCCTCTTCAGCTGTGCAATAATATATGCCACAAAGAGTAGATCTGTGCATTTATGCTTTTTTATTCCTTCATAGGTATTTCATTGACCATAATACAGAAGAAGATAGGTATTTCATCATTGATGCTAACACTGGAACCATTAAGACTGCCAAGATCTTTGACAGAGAGGAAACGCCTTGGTACAACATCACAGTTGCTGCTTCTGAGATAGGTAAATACATTTAGTAGACATGTAACAGAAAAGCTTCCATATCATATGAATGCAAGACTAATAATTGTTTTTAAGAAATATTATCCCGATTGTCTATAGGTTCTCTTCAAAGACAGGCCTTTTTCCACCAATTTGAAGGTAAAGGAGAATTTGAGGTATACATGTTATTCCTCTAATTCCAGAAAAAATACAAACGCATATATTTATTCATCTATGTAAATGTACAACCTTTTCCTCTATTAAGCACATTGGTACCAATTTATCTCGGGCACAACTCCATTATATGTAATGTACTCATATCAGGGAGGAATTTAGCCTTTGTGTGGGTTGAATATCAGCTTTCATATTTCTTGACAAATAAACAGTATTTTCTTTTAAAGAATATTGCCTAATCTGAGAAACTCAACCATTCCCTTTTATAGCTAGAATTAACCTAATGACTCTACAGATTGAATCCCCCTCCTCCTGCTCCCCTCTGCGATGTTTTCATCTAGGAAATTAAATCCCCAAATATTCCTTAAGGTTTTATTAATCTGGTTTTTACTTTGGAAAATGGGACACAGGTTAAGAAATTTTGAAATTTTTACTCATTGTGACCGAGACACAAAAAGCTGAAGCAAATTGTCTGAGGGTCACTGTGGTTTTGTGGATAAGATTTGGATTTGGATTCTGTTCCTATTCCTACAGCAAACATTCTGTGTGAAATGTTCATAACTGCCTAATCCAGACCAAATTCCTCTGAAGAAACAAGGCTACTCGCTACCTTAAAATAAAAGTATTTTCTTGAGTGTTTTCTTGCATCTGGAAAGCCAGTTTTGTCGGTAGCCCTATTTAACTTAAGAAGTTGTGAAAATTGTAATGGTATAGGAATTTTTTTTTTTACTTTTTAAAATTCTCCTCCAATTAAGAAGATTGCTAAAAGTGACTGAACTCATTTTCGTCACAGATTCTAGATCCTGGCCAAGTCTAAATGCTGGCATCAAAACAAAGGGAGATAGGAATACTAAGCATGTGCCCACACAAACTATGCCAATTGAACCCCCAAATGTAATCTTTCAGTGGCTATGATTTTGCTTGGGAACATGAACTATTTTCAGATGCAAGTTTTCTTTTCTTCTTGCTATATCCCATCATTGCCACAAAATGATGCAACACAATGTGGACCAATGACAATAGCCACCAATACTGGTGAGCTTCCCCTCTGTTTTCATCTGTTTCAGCTATAGATTAAAATTGAATCTGTTTTGCAATTTGATTTATGGAAGATGCTACTAGCATATGCTATAGTATTAGTATATATGCTATAGTATTAGTATATATATAATTTTATGAGGACAACAAATTGTATTTTTTTTTTTATTATGCCTGCTTTGGGGATTCAGTTCCTATTTTGAACTAAGTAAATTTCTATAGTAAAATCTTGAGTTTTATGTGGTTAGTCATAAAAAACACAACCACTGAGACTTCGGTGTGCTTTTCAGTTTCTTTGCATAATGTCCTATTACAGTGCAACATGCACTAAACTATAATTTAGGCCTAATCATAAACAGGTGCATAGTAAAAGTGAGGTTTAATTAAGATTTAAAAGCCACATTGGGACATCCATATGAAGCTGCAAGTGAAAAGGAACAGTTGCTATCCAGGCTTTCCAAATGTATCTGCTTTGCAGAAATAAATCTCAATAGCATTAAAGTTAAATGTAGCTTTTCTATACATTATTTATGTCACATAATCAAGAGAGTGGTATTGTGCACAGGATAGTAATAAAGATTATATTTATAATTAAATAAAATTAGATGTATAGTGATGAGATGCTATTTTAAAGACAATCTCCTTAGAATTCTACATCCACAGTGCTCTGTGTAGTGGGGAGAAATGGGCATTGCTTTCCCTCCATGTTTACTCCTCATTCTTAACACGGGGGAGTGGGAAAGATTTGAAGCTTTTGGTAAAAAGGGGGGATTGGCAGACAGATAAACTAGGTTTTGATTAATCTTTCTTGGGTCCTCTTCTTCCATAACTAGTTTCTAAGATTAAAATATTTTAATGTACAGCAGTTGGAATTGTCTTCAAGTTATAAAGATTATCACACTGTACCAAATCCCCTGAGAAACTGGAAATTGAAACTAGTACTGGAAAAGGAGTCTATACAGTATGCAGAGCATCAGTGTTCTCACTTTGTTACTCAGGCAGGCTGACAAATGTTGCACCATCTGCAACTTTTCCATGGCACTCACTTTAAAATGCACAATGCATTTCAGAAGATGAGCCTGGGGCTGACAAACAGGTAGAACCACCATGGCTAAATCCTAATATGACAAGAAGGGTCATAACCTTTAAATAATTTATGCCAATTGGTTAGCCAGGAACAATGAAGAATGCAGAAGGTCCCTGAAAGTGTGCCCCCACCTTGACAGTCAGAGGGCACAGGTCCTCTGGTGACATTGTAGTTTTGGTCAGGTGTCCAAAATGTTTTCCTCTCCCCACCAACATCACTTCTGTCTTGCCTAGGTTTAGTTTTAGCCAGTTTCTCTTTATGCTGCAGCTTATCTCACAGTGCTGTCTGTATTTGATGTGAAGGAGATTTAGAGCTTGGTGTTATCTGTATACTACTGGCACTCACACTCTGCTTACATTTCAGGTTTATTGTTTCTGAGCCCTCTAGGAGGTGCTTACATGCACTTTCTGGGTGGAATTTTGAGAGGAACTCAGTCCCAGATCTGCTAAGGTATTTAGGCACCTAACTTGCATTGAAATCCAGGGATCTGGGTCTCAGCATTGGCCTAACTATTCCCATTGAAGTTTTATCTCAGTGGGAGCACAGTGAATCTAATAATGAGTGCTTTTGAAAATTCCATCCCCAGTGAGCACAAAGCATGAGTCCTTGCAAGAGGTATTCATAGATTCTAGGACTGGAAGGGACCTCAAGAGGTCATCGAGTCCAGTCCCCTGCCCGCATGGCAGGACCAAATACTGTCTAGACCATCACTGATAGACATTTATC